CCTAACCACCTGGCCATGCCGGGCTATACAAGAGATACGTAATATTTATGAAATATTTATACTGGGGGGACTGACCCATCCTTTTGCAATAGTATACCTGGGGACTGACCAATCCTTTTATAATATTTTATACTGGGGGGAGGGGGCTGACCCATTGGGAGAGAACAGCTATCGCGAGCTCTAACTCTTTATATTTGAAACTAAACTATGTAAATTGGAACGTGTATAATATGTTCCACTTTCAACAGTCTCTGTACATACAACATTTAGACCATATATAGTTGTCCCTGCTGGGATAGCGGTAAGTCAGGGGTTCGATTCCCCTCGGTGGACACAGCAGATAGCCAGATGTGGCTTTGTCATAAAAAAAAGACACACATAAGCTATAGTTAAATGGCTTTATATAGATATTTTATTTGTCATTTAGTAATTATTTTATTGATTTATTTAATCTAATTTAATTTCAGGGCACCTGAATAGTTTGTATATGACCTCTGTTAAAGGGCATATTTGGTCTAATCGTTAGTCTGATGCTGTATAAACTGGAAATTTTGATTTTCGCGTATTGCCTTTTTTTGATTGTATTAGGCCTATATCTCAAACCGTATGCAGCGTACAATCAGCCCGATATCGTCAGCAAACCTTATTTTTTCATGAGAATCCGTTTGCTTAAGTTGGTCAGCAACACCTTCTAGAAACTCATAAAAAAATATCATATTATATTACTGTTACAGCGTCTAAACAAGAATCAGAGTAGACTAGCGGTCTTAAGCAACCTGTGATTGACACACCTTGAGGTAAAGTAAACAGTGTTTTTCCGACGCTGTGGGGGACCCGCCCCGCTGTCAACTGGCTCCAAGCTGGCGCCTGACCATGGTAGCCGAGGGTAAGTTACGTCAGCAATCTCGCGATAGGTAACAGTAGGACCAACAGTTTACCTCTCTGCGGGAGTTGGTTCCGGTTTCTGATCCTGGCTATAACCTAGTGACAACCAAGTTGATGTCCATAACACAAGAACTTCATGACCACGTGGTGGTAGAGTAATGGGGGAACTGTCAATCATATCTCTACATGACACATCCCATTGTAAACACTTGACCGCTACACACACACATACATGTACGTCAAGTGCCCTACATCTGACCCGAAATTCCGTTGTCACACTAAAATTTTAAACCTTTCTAATGATTACAATAAACCATCTGTCCCAAGAAACCATCATAGCTTTCTTTGGCAGTACTTATATATTTATTCAACAAGAGATGGACTTTAGTAGGTGGAATTAAACATGTCTGTTTGATATAGACGTTTCAGTGCTACCTCGGTGCCAGATTAGTTTTTATGAGCATAAGGGGATCCACTGTTGTCACGATTTCACATATCTATTGGTGTGTCACATTTTTTAGGTTACTCCACAGATGTCACGTTCGGGGATCGTAACAAATTACACACAGTTGGTGCTCTTAACACATATTTCCTAACAAAAACGTTTGGGGGCTGTCGTGGAAATAAAACAATTTTAATATAGATGTCAAGAAGTCTCTTTCACTGTTCTATAGGTGGATGTTATCAATACCGGAAAAATGGGTGAGGTAATTTATATATTTGATCCCCAAAATTAATTACGATGGTTGTTTATTTCTAGAGCTAATGTAATGCCAAGTTAATGATGCTCTCGAGGGATGTCACTTGGAACAATAAGGCATTGAATTATTCTGGTAGCAATTCTATTAGTCTTTCCTCTTTTTTTAGCCGCCATTTTATAAATTTTTGCACCTTTTGATGAATAGTTCTAGATGTTCAGAAAGACTAACTACGGTTTTAGTTAGAAAATGTACTATTGTTATTACTGGAAAACTTCCCTTGTTGTGTCCATGTTCTATTCTTGAGCCTGTAAAACTTCCCTTGTTGCTTCCATGTCCTACTCTTGAGCCTGTAAAACTTCCCTTGTTACCTCCATGTCCTATTCTTGAGCCTGTAAAACTTCCCTTGTTGCCTCTGTGTCCTATTCTTGAGCCTGTAAAACTTCCCTTGTTGCCTCCATGTCCTACTATTGAGCCTGTAAAACTTCCCTTGTTACCTCCATGTCCTACTCTTGAGCCTGTAAAACTTCACTTGTTGCCTCCATGTCCTACTATTGAGCCTGTAAAACTTCCCTTGTTGCCTCCATGTCCTATTCTTGAGCGTGTAAAACTTCCCTTGTTACCTCCATGTCCTATTCTTGAGCCTGTAAAACTTCCCTTGTTACCTCCATGTCCTACTATTGAGCCTGGAAAACTTCCCTTGTTGCATCCGTATCCTACTCTTGAGCCTGGAAAACTTCCCTTGATGCCTCCATTTCAAGGAGTTCGCCTCACTGTAGGTCATTCAAATGGCCACAAGGTTATCATAAGTGTATCCTTTCAGCAAATTCCTTGGTTTCACCCCAACCCTCAAAGACCAGTTCTTGCTTTACTTGCCCCAATGCTACAGAAAACTCAGTTTTCACTTGTGTAAGTACTGGCGGTTATATAAATATAACCTCACACCAAAAAATAGCTAGTTACTTTACTAGTACTCCTGCACTCGTTTGACAAGTGCTCTAAATACTACTTATGCAAACAAAACTGGCCATATTATATGTCACGTGACAGCTTGAGATCTAGAAAAACAGTCTAGGGAATGGGCTTGAAAAAATCAATCCGAAATCAAAAATTAATCCGAAAGATACCGGTCAATAGCACGGATTTGCCAGACTTAAAGTGGCACTTCTCTAACAGGAGAATCAAATCTAATTCATGGCAGGAATTTAGGTTTAAACATCTTTCAGGTCTAAGAATTAATTTCTGGAGCCTAAAAGACAGTTCGGGGTGGTCAGAATTTTTTTCTCTTCACCCTAGCAGGAGAATCGTTATTCAAGACCATTTATATGACCGGCTGTTCAGAGTCACTTGACATCAAAGTATATCAAGAGTGCCGGTCAACACCGAAAATTTCTACTGGAAAAAATGTGGCTGGTAACTGGACGAAGAAAGAAATGGCTGGACAATGACACATAAGCTAATTGATTTGATCAAAAGTATCATACGAAGGACGTACATAAGTACTGAACACTGCTCATCTCGAATGTAAGGAATAAAATGTGTCTTTAGTTGTGTTTAGAGCACATATTGTTAGCAATGAATAATTGGAGATATGTTAAGATATCTGACGAATTATGTTACATACGTTTTAGTTACGAAACTATGATTTTTTCATAAATATACATCTGTTCAAAATACATTCATTAAAACATTCACTGGCACGTGATGGGCTTTCTTCGTTACACATGTAGAAGGTTTCCCTTTTTTTGGGCATAAATATCAAGCATAAAAGATTAATTTTTGAAAAATATCTTATAATTTTTGGCGCCATTTTAAAGATAGAAGATGTAACAGTAGTTGAGTGGGGTTAGTTGGAATTATGCAATGGAAAAAGTATTACTAAGAATCAAAGGAAATATAATAAAGTAAGAAAGGGTTATATTTTTTATTAAATTGTTAATTACAATGGAAATGAACTGTTTTTTTTTATAATATCAGAAGAAAGTTTATTTAAGTTTTAATTAAAAGAAAAATTATAGGAGAACAGTGTGTGTCTAATCGGGCTATCTGCTGTGTCTACAAAGTGGAATCAAACCCCTGCTGTGTCTACAAAGTGGAATCAAACCCCTGATTTTAGCGTTGCACAGGGAAATATGGAAAAATAGAAAATAAATGAAAGTATATTTTATAACCTTAAAATAATGTATTTTTGGATATATTTTCATGTATTTAATTTATCTAAGCTTTCCAAAGATTGAATTTTATGTATGTTTATTTTGGGAAAATGTTAATTCAGGTTCTTTACGTTTAGTTTAAAGTTCTATATGAACGTACTTATTATAGATTCACTATAAAATTACATGACCTTTGAAGCCACGACACCAGAAGAAGATGACAACGAAGAGAAAGTACAGAAGAGTCCAAGTATTATGTTGAAAAGTTTATAAATTTGGTAAAGATGAAATATATAAGAATAATTTATTTCTGGATAACTAGATAAATGCTTTAATTCTTAATACTTTATTTAATATGAGAAATTACGTCGTCCAAAGTGGACTCTTCAGACATTAATAATAACTTAAATTCTTCATTTAAAATAAGAACTTACGTCCAATGTGAACTCTTCAGATATTAATAATAGCTTTAATCCTTAACTTAAAATAAGAACTTACGTCCAAAGTGGACTCTTCAGATATTGATAATATCTTTAATTCTTCATTTAAAATAATAATAATAATAGCTTTAATTCTTCATTTAAAATAATAATAATAATATCTTTAATTTTTAATTTAAAACAAGAACTTACGTCCAAAGTGGACTCTTCAGTTATTAATAATAGCTTTAATTCTTAATTTAATATAAAAACTTACGTCCAAAGTAGACTGTTCAGATACTAATAATAGATGCAAATATAACAGTCATAGTGTAGTTACAACTGTAAAATAAAAATATATATTATTAATTAAAAAGTAACATAAAATATATATATGATCTCCGTGTGTTTAACAACTAAGTATTGGTTGGAATAGTTTTGTGAAACATTTTTCTCTTGCTCTCCGTAATAATAAGTAATAACGGAAAAATGGTGTTGTTGTTGTTTTTTTTTATCTCGAATGCGTGTCACACTCTATTACACAGTTTCTTTCCGGTTTGACCGATGTAATTTTTGTGGCAGTAAGAACGTGTTATATAATGTATAAGATATTCAGATATGAGGTTCGTATTGACATTAACTCTGAAGGTATTACCTGATTTAAATGTGACTTTTTTCAGTGTACGTGTATTTAGATGTGACACATTGTTTATCACCATAAATGTTCGTGGTAACATCCTCATTTCTCCTCGTACACTTTGCCCTGTGTATTATTGTTTTCTTTCCTCAGTTCCTCGTACACTTTGCCCAGTGCATTATTGTTTTCCTCAGTTATGAGATCCTTCAGATTTTGACTTTGTTTTTAATATTTCAGTATTAGTACGAATTCCATTAAATTTCTTGAAATTATTTGAATTTGTTGATTTGGTAATAAATGGGATCTTCCTTTGTTTATTTTCCATCTTTTTTTTTCTTTTGGTTGCGGAATTTCTGAAATTACAGAAGTCCTTTGCGTTTTTTTTAAATCTTTTCAAAATGGAAATTTTCAACGTGATCTAATTTTCCTGTTGCTCCAAATCATAAATGTAAATTCCAAGATTAACATCCACAACTTCTGGAACTACAAATGAACAAACTAGATTTATGGAGTAACTCACTGAAACAATGGTTTCCTATATCAAAAACTGAACAAAAAGGAAATTATATTGAGATATTTGGCAGTGAGTTATGGACAGTTGACTGGTTCACAGACTTACCCTCCACCTCAAGGTTTAGTATAAGTTCTGACTTACCCTCCACGTCATGATTTAATATAAGTTCTGACTTACCCTCCACCTCAAGGTTTAGTATAAGTTCTGACTTACCCTCCACGTCATGGTTTAATATAAGTTCTGACTTACCCTCCACGTCAAGGTTTAGTATAAGACGTGGAGGGTAAGTCAGAACAAGGTTTAGTATAAGTTTTGACTTACCCTCCACGTCAAGGTTTAGTATAATTTCTGACTTACCCTCCACGTCAAGGTTTAGTATAAGTTCTGACTTACCCTCCACGTCAAGGTTTAGTATAAGTTCTGACTTACCCTCCACGTCAAGGTTTAGTATAAGTTCTGACTTACCCTCTACAACAAGGTATAATTGGCAAAAAATAATAGAATTGTCCTGATATAAACTCCCCCCCCTTGGTTCGTCGTTAGACTACTCAGATTCGATGACGAGGAACCCACTTTGAGACTAATAATGGCTGGAGACGGCTTGAGTGGGTAATGAAGAAAATTTTAATACAACAGCAAATGTACAACGTTTCGACAAGGTTTTGTCATCATCAGGTTCA